ATCACTTTGCATTTGTCCTTATTAAACTTCATCCTGTTTACCTGCAACCATTTCTCCAATTTGTCCAGATCATTTTTAATTATGACCCTATCCACCAGTGCACTTGCAACCCCTACCAGCTTGGTATCATCTGCAAACGTAATAAGAGTATTCTCTATGTCGATATTTAAATAGTTGATGAAGATATTGAACAGAACTGGTCTCAAAATAGACCCCTGGGAAACCCCACTTGTTATACCTTTCCAGCAGGATTGTGAACCATTAATAACTACTCTCTGAGGATGGTTATCCAGCCAGTTATGCACCCACCTTATAGTAGTCCCATCTAAGTTGTATTTGCCTAGTTTATTGATAAGAAGATCATGCGAGACTGTATCAAATGCCTTGCTAAAGTCTAGGTATACCACGTCCACCGCTTCTCCCTTATTCACAAGATTCGTCATCCTGTCAAAGAAAGCTATCAGACTTGGTGAACCTATGGGGGATTCCTGAACCCTATCAAACTCCCACTCCTCAGATGCCATGCTGGAGAAGATTGTCCTGTACTGATTGTCCAAGAATTTTTTCCCATATCCTTATCTTCCATCCTATTCAGGGAAGGAAAAGGAGACAGGTATAGAGATATTAATATTTGCTGGTATATGCAGGATCAATCCCCTTATGCTTTAAATATTTTTGGTTGACATTTCTTTAAAAAAATTGTAATTATATGTTCCTTATATTAAACAGGTGGCAAATAGAAGATGTTCTCAGGTTCAGGATTGGGCCTCCAGATTCACCAATGGCAGGTTCAGTAGAGAGGCCAAGGATTGGTAGAGTGGATAGTGTGCCCTTTTTCTCCTAAGGGTCCAGGGTACAGCTGAGGAACTTTAGTAGTGAAGTGTGGTGAAGGAGCAATAGTTCACAGTAGGATGCAGAAGCCAATGATTCAGCAGCATTCCCGGGGCTCGCTCACCTGGGTCCTAGGATCCTCCTCCTCCTCGGGCCAGCTCCGACTGGGGTCCCGCAGAGCTGCCGGGCAGAGGAAAAGTGCCTCCCCATGCCCGCTGCCCCCCCCTGCCAGCAACAGGCTGCCCCCTCCCCTGAGCAACAGGCTGGCGAACAGCAGACAAAAGCAGCCTCTCCGCCCCTCCTCCCCCTATACATGCTGGGCTCCCTGGGCAAACAAAGACTCCACCAAAACAAACAAAGTGCTGGCCTCATTGTGTTAGCAAAAAAAGGACCCTCCTCCTAGAACCCTGGGTGGTGTGTGGAAATAAAGCTATTAGCTCAAAGCATGGTGCAGAGCTGTTTGGTATTTGATGAGTTACTCTTTTAGTCCTGAGTTTGTCACAGGGACAGAAATAGATGTGAAATCTTCTGAACAGGGGAACAGACAGCAAAACAAACATTAGAGGGGAGTTAACCTTTCCCTATGCTATCCAAAACTAAAAAAACTGTTTGGCTAGAGTTTCCCCTACAATATGTACCAGTTCCGACTTACATACAAATTCAACTTAAGAACAAACCTACAGTCCCTATCTTGTACGTAACCCGGGGACTGCCTGTATTGGAAAGGAAGAAATGCTACGCGTCTCCTCAGCACCTTGTTGGATTCGGATATGTCTGTATTGGATTGTTGAGCTACAACACACACGAAGATTTCTAAAGCAATTGATCACGTAACTTGTTCCATTATTTTTGTAGGTGAAAATTGAATTTACTTTTTTCCCTCTCTCCGTGGATAGGGGGACTAAAGTACTTAACATTTGTATATATGTTACAATTCTTGTGGACACATCACCTTGAGGCTCAATGCACTTTTCTGCTGTTTCAAGCATACTCTAGCAGGAAAATGTTTAAAAGACCATTTGTGTTTAGAATTTTCTGTGTGCACAGTAGAGTTGTGAGGAACTTACAGATTTCCATGAAGTGGTGTTTCTAACAAAGCTGTTATAACAAAATTTTGCTCTAAATTACATCAGTGTGTCAGTCCCCCTGCTTTAGACTTCCTGGGGAAGGTGAGGAAGGGGTCATCTCTGGGTGAGGAAGGGGTCATCTCATGGGAGGGGTGGGGCCTCAGGCAGAAGGGACAGGACTGGGGTGGGCAGCCATCCCTTAGAACCACCTGGAGCGCACCGCACTGTGGTCCCCACCCAAGGCAGCCCTCAAAGGTGCCCCGGTCATGCTCCAATGGCAATTTAAAGGACCCCGGGCTCCGGCAGCTGCCCCTTGGGGCAAATGCTCCATTTGTCTCCTCCTGGCTTCTCCCCTGCTGCCTCATTTGTGGGCCTGGTCTAAAGTAGCTGGACTTATGTGGAGTCACACAGCTGATGTACTCAGGAAAAAATTCTGGTCTAATCAACTACATTGGAGTCAGTTAAGATTTGGACCATAGTTATGCTGGTGTAGCGTTTCAATCTAATTAGTTCTTGTTTTACCTTTTCAAAATAAATTTGGAAAGTCATGCAGCCTCTCTCCTTAATTTTGATACAAGATCATAATTTACTCTGAATAGTTTTGTTTAATAGGTGGGACGATTAGCCATATTTATTTTTGAAGAAAGTCACATTCCAGATTAAACTCTCCTACATCTTTTAAACTTTTCTGTTATGACACTAAACTTATGGACTGTTTCATGGAGAGATCACAGTAGTCAGGCTGCACATTCTTCCATTAACATCCCCAGTAAGAGGAGCGTTTGTGTCATTTTAACAGCTTTCTTGCTGGTTTGAGAAGTTTGGTGTAATTTATGTAATTCCAGCAGAATGATCCAAAAATAGACAGGCAAGTCATCGTTCATATTCATTAATGCTTTGATCTAAAATTTGCGCTGTTGATAGATGCCTTTAGAGACTTGATGATGTGTAGAGCTTCATCTAGAGGAAGAATGTTGTGCCTTTTTCAGATGGTGCAACTGATCCCTCCTCTTGCTGCTTAATGCAGGCTCAGGGAGATAAGAGTGTGGCCCTGTCAATTCCACACCAGCCTTGTCTCTTGTGTTTCTGGAGTGATTGTCGGTAGCAATTCCTATGCTCCTCTAGCCAGATGCTTTGCATTTGTGGCTGGTCGCTGCTGTGAGATGTCCACTTTGGCTCTAATGGTGGCGTTTGCAATCACAGTTGGGACCCTTATGCAGCATAAAGAATTAGAGTAGCATTGCTTTATTCGGTAAGCCCCTGAAACTCCTATAGAGGGTCAAATTCCATTCTGCTCAGTTACATGACTGGTCAGGGGAACTGAGGACAAAGGTCTTTTATTAAGGAAAATCTCAATAATGAGTGAAGACTTTTGGGTTAAAATCCCCTCCATTCTGCCCTTTGATGACATTGACATCTGTATGTGGAAGGCAAACTTCCTTAACACGAAAACTTTCAGAAGGTTCCAGTTACATTTTAGTTCCACATCTATAGTGGGCTGGGATACTACATGTGCTATCCTTCCTTCCTTCCTACACCCTAAGCCCCTGCTGCTATCCCAGCAAGCATAGCAGAGGTGGCATTCATTTCTTTGTGAAACTCCCCTTGCGGTGAAGCTCCAGGGTGGGAGCAGTACGGTGGGGAGGCCTAGAAGGGTAGCTGTATTGGTGCTGAAACTGCTAGTAACAGGAGCTGTAGGGCAGCATAGGTTGCTTGCAGAGATGTGTCTGTCTCTCTCTCTGCTCAGGTCTCTGGGATGTAATAGGTGAAACCTGCCCTTTGTAAAGTGATCCAGAGTGGTCATCCCCACTGTATTCCTCCTGTGCACTTTTCCATGGGTATGTGTGATCTGGCAATGTGGATTATAATTAGTCTTTAGAGAAATGAGAGTTTAACTTGGCTAAAGACTGAGTAAACACTTCAGTAACTGGGGAGGAGGGGGAGAGTCTCCCTTTGTTTTGGGGACAACTTGTGATACTAGTCTGAGTTCTGCTGGCTCAAACCCGTTCATTTGATTCAGGAATTAAGAGTTGGTTTATTGTTCGTTGCTTATGTGAAACTGGAAAAGATGTCCTTTATTTGCAGTGTTTCCAACTCTTGAGCTTCAGAAATCATTAACCAGCTATTCCAAATCATGAGATTATTTTATGGAATTTGCCTTCTAAGCTTGTAGTGGTCTTCCCCCTCCCCCCCCCAACTGTTGTCTGCAAATTTATTTTTAAATGAAATGTGAGATTCTCATTCAATTACATGATTTTGGATTTAGGGGCTTTTAGAAAAACTCCAAGTTCAATGAGATGAATATCATTAAAATTGTTCACACAGTTTCTGTTCTATACTACAGTCCTTACCAGAAATACACCTATAGGACTGAACTATACCTCTGCTGTGGATGAAGTTTTCTCTTCTATAGTGAGCAGAGATTCACAGGATTGACAGTCTGTGTGATTAACTGTGGCAGCTATCTCTTCAAGTACATCTAATTACCTGTTCATTAGACTGGAAGCCCAGGAGTCAGGAGATTGTGTGGGGCTGTCTCTGTTTAAAGGGCAGTTTCATAATGTAAATATTAAAAATGAGCTTTCTGGTTTGCTTAAGTTAGACTGACAGGCTAAGAGCTTGTGTTAGCTTTTAAGGATTGTTGTATCAATAAAATCATAACGCATAATACAAACTTTATACTGTTTGCTTATTTGACATTTAAAAACTTATTAACAAATAGCATCTGCTTGCAGAACAAACAAATACAAAGTTTATAGAGGTCTCTTTTGTAAACATGTCTTTAAACCCACCTGTTGCTTTGATAGAAGATTGTCACACTGGGAGAGAAGTCTGCCTTTACTCAGTGGAGAACCATAATTCTATATTTTTCACTATCCTGGATCTTACCTAGGTTTACATGTAATGTAGCAAGGATAAATCAATCAGAATTTTGTTACTGGCTTTCCCCACCATTTAAAGAGGTGGAGGAATAAGGGGAAGAATATGAAAGGAGGAGTGTTCATTGAGGGTTACATAGATGGAATGGGGGGGGGGGGATGGGGAAGAATCAATATTTGCATTTTAACGGCATATAGAGCATGTGAGTTCTCCGGGCACATGGAGCAAGTGGATGATGTGGGTTTTGTTCCTCAGCATAAATTTTAAGAAACATATGGCCTGATGCTGCATTGCTTTTCTCCATGTAAGTAATACTTATTCATGTAATAGTACTGTTGAAGTCAGTGGGATTGGTCATGGGAGGCAAAAAGGCATAAGGGTTAGCAAGATAGGTTTAATAGCTAATTATAATTTTTTTTGGCTTCCTTTGTTGCTAGGATTGTAACATACCGGTATCTGGAAAGCTTTAAAGAAATTCCTTGATATTTTTAACTTCAGCAGTTTGAGAATGGAGCTAAAACCTGTGTTGCTTTGAACACAGAGAAAATAAAGGTAGCATTGGTTAATGGTTAAGTTAGCACAATGGGGATTAAAACACCTGAGCTCTGTTCCTGACTACCACTGAATTGCTGTGTTGCCTTGGGAAGTTTCCCTCAAGCTGAATAGGGTTGCCAGGTGTCCAGTTTTCACCCGGACAGTTCGGTATTTTGGCATTTCATCTGGTTAAAAAAAACCCCAGAGAATACTGGACATGTAAAATGTCCAGTATTTTCTGTTTTCCTCGGACGGATGGCTGGTGGCATCTGCGAGGGCGGGGGAGTGAGGAGCACAGTAATTTAAAGGCGCAGCAGCCTCTTTTTTTAAATTTTTTTTTTATTTAAAGTTTGGTCTCCTTTTTTCCCCTCAACCAATTTTTCCCTGCCAGTTTGGGATTTTTTGTGAAGGTATCTGGCAATCTTAACTGAAATATAAAAAAACCCTCAATCTATTTGTAAACAAAGATTGGGATGATGATGATTTCCTTTCTTGCAGGGGGCTCCTTTAGTAATGTTTGTAAATATTATGTCTTTCATTTGATGATCAAAGACCCACCACTTACTTCAAGTGGTGGTGTGGAATGGCCAGAACATTCTTAGTGCATTTTAACAGTTCTGTTTGAGATCTCATTATGTTAAAGTAAACTGGGGAAGTTTTTAGTGTGCACCAGCAGGGTAAACAGTGGGAACTTAGCTAGGGAATTTCAGTCCCTTTCAGAGTGCTACCTTCCTCCCCGCCACACACACACACACACACACCCTCAGCAACCAGACCCAAGGGAATGTACATGAAGGACTACATCTCTGCCATAGTTCCAAGAGCCACTCTGGGGATTGTTGAAAACATTTCTATGGTGTTTTTATCAATTGTGTTGCATCCACTACTTTACCCTTGAATTCCAATGGCCTTTTAAAAAGGTGGTTCAATTCAGACCTTGCATCTGTTTTACATTGGAGTTACTGACTTTAATGCAATCACTCCTACTTTACACCAGTATAATGGGAGATCAGAATAAGGCCAACCTGTCTATTTTTATCTGCAAAAGTATCTATAACTAAAATGCAAAATCATTCTCCTAATTGCTCTGGGATGACTCAGCTCACCTATTGCTATTTTTGTAATTAGCACTTGAGGCATAATGAAGATTAAATTTCTATAACACCTCACCATACTTATTTCCAGTCTTGTTACCAAAGGAATTGTCAGTGCAGAAGAACAGCTCCTACCACTGTGAATTGGGGCCATGCTTCATGGGCGAAAGAAGGGCACAAGGAATCTATTACAGAATGCATATGGGAAGAAAGTAGCAGTCATTCAGTTTATAGAGATGTGTATGTCGGTGCAGCATACTTGCAGCTCTCTGCATTCCCTTTATCTGAAAACTCTCATTATCCAGATCCACAGTGTGTTCCCATGTAGCCAGGCCCCCATAGGGCCCCCCATCCCAATGCACTCACCCCTGCCTCAGACCCAGGCCCCCTGCAGCGTGCCCCATCCCAGTGCACTCATGCCTCCCCCTGAGCCAGGCATCCCCAGGGCTGGGAGCACCCTGCCCCAATCAAATTACCCCTCCCCGCCCTCCCCTGGCAGAGCCAGGCACTGGAGGAATGGGACAGCTGGGTAAATTAATCTTACTTTTAAAGTTGCTGCTCCTGCTGCCCTGCCTGGGGCCTTGGCTCACATTGTGTAAAGGGAGGCATCACGTGGCCAACTCCTGGGTCTCTGCTGGTCAGATGGGCTAGAGCAGTGTGTGCTCCACTCCCACCCGAGCCCGGCGCCCCCCTGGCATGGCACCCGGCAAAGAGCCCCCCTGCCGTGGTGCCCTGCAAGTATCCCTTCCTGTCCCCCCTTTGCTAGATTCTGCCACGCTCCTCACTGCCCCACTGCCACCAGACGCGGCAGGGGAAAATTGTCCCTACTGGGCTTCCGTGCCAGGGAAACAGGAAATACTGGACATTTCACATGTCCGGTATTTCCTGTTTTGTGTTTTTACCAGACGGAGCCTGCAAATACTGGACTCTCCAGATGAATACTGGACATCTGGCAACCCTAACATCAAATAACTCCAAGCAGGGAAGGACATATAGCCTCCTCCTAACCAGAATTACCTTCACTCATTCCATCCCTCCCGTTGAGCTATGAATGTCGAGCCCCTGCTTTGCAAAGTTCTTTCTGCTCCTTTGAAACAATTTAGCGCAATTCTACTCTTCTGTATTCCCACAAAATTACAAATATTGCTAACCATATTTTACCTGTCCCTGCATTGAATACAAATATAACTGGAGTTGGGTCACAAATTAAGTTGATTGTAATGAGCAAAATACCATTCCATCTGCTGTATATCTAACACATGTAAGCAAAGCAGGAACAAACCATATTTACATAGACACAAGAAGAGTCTCTTCCCCCCCTCCTCCCTTCCTCCCTTCCAGCTAGCTGCAAGGGAAGCATTCCTTCAGATCCTGCTTACAAACTGATATTTTACACTTTTTGAAGTCCTAGCATATCAATTATAAGCACTAATGAATGTTTTATGTTCATTTTAAATCTACTAAGTAGAGGAAGAAAGTACAAATCTTTCTTGTTTATTATGAGATATTACTGAATATCCTGAAATAGAAGAACTATTTAGTACTAGGAGAAATAATTACTAATTGTGACATATATAATGGAGATTATTGTTTAGATCGCTTCTTATGATAAAATATCTACAGTACAATAATTGCTTTTGGCTGTAAATTTGCAATATTTAGCAGAATTTCCTTGTCACTTCATACTAAAGTGACATCAAGAAACCTGAGATTAGTAGTTATGGGGGAAATGACAGTTACTTTTAGAAATTATTGTGTGTCTCGTGTTTAGTGTTCCCTGTAAGCTGTGCACTTGGGCGGCTGCTCAGGAGAGATTCCAGTGCCATCCAACTGATTAGCAGAGCACCCACAGTTGGGTTTCTGTTTCTCCTGGTGGTGCACATTCACACATGTCTTTGTGCACACAACAGTTTATTCTGCATATGTATGGAAAAATCTGCACATGGATGTAAAAGAGAATATTGGTCACTTTACCTGTAAGGTCCTATTCTCCTATTTAAATCATCAGGAATCTTGCCATTGCTTTTAGTAAAAACAGGATTAAACTTTGGGTGTTGTAAAGAATTCAGCACAGCTTTAACTTTACTTCTAGGACTAGTGTCACTGAACTCAAACTAAGTAAAGGAAAGAATGTGCATAAACCTTTGTTGGTTTAGGGCCTTACTTGGCAGCACTACTGGGTATAAACAGACAACAGTTTGATGGCATGGGTCATATTTTACCCTCCTATTGTCAATTACAAAACCCCCACCGACTTCTCTCGGGCCAAGTCTCTCTCTCTTGTTCGGTCCATGCACTGGGAGACTGTCTGTAGCAAAATCTGGTCAGAAATTCTCAAGTGAAATTTTTTTGGACAGAAATACAGATTCACTGAATTCAGAAAAGCTTCACGGAGACAGTGGAAGGGTTTTCATTTTAAATAAAGGTCCAACAGAACACAGGGAAGAATCTGACATCACCCTGCTACATGTCATGCTAGCTCATCCTTACAGCCCTTCAAGCGCCTGCCTCGTGGGTTGACAGAAACCTGGGAGTGGTAGCAGCCCTTCTACCCACCGGGCAGAATTTCATTTCAAAATTATGGGAACATTTTGTCTTCCTGCTCAAAGCTAAAATGTTCAGATTGCATTGTGGAGACTATTTTATCCCTTTCTAAACCTAACATAGAATTTCTGAAATTCTCCACCAAATATAATCTCCATTCTCTGCACATCTGTAGTTCCCGCTGTCAGCTATGGAGCCTGTCTCTTCGCTCAAGCTATAGAGACTCATGCTTACAGCTCTTGAGAAACTGCTTCAGTTCCTGGAATGACAGCTAAAAGGGCAGCTGTCACATTTGTAGTGCATAGTACCATAGCATTGGGGCTCTGGTGTTACTGCAATAGAAATAAATAGTAAGATACTAAAACTGTCAGACACATTCCTCAGCCTCCTGTGCCCTACACTCATCTGCCTGTGAGGTTCCAGTTGTCTATCAGGGTACGTCTACACAGCAACATTATTTCAAAATAACTTAGTCCATGTTTACACAGCAGGCAGTTATTTTGCAATGATGTCAAAATATTGTCAAGCTGGAGTATCTGACTCCTATAACCCTCATTGTACAAGGAGTTAGGGAAGTTGGAGGAAGAGTGCTTTATTTTGAAATAAGTGCTGTGTAGACACTCCCAATTTTGAAATAAGCCATTTTGAAGTTTGTTTGCTAGGGTCACTATTAAATAGGGCTGTTTGAATAAGGCTAAACATCATCTGCAAACATCCACTTAAATGTTTAAATAAATTCACACCAGTCATGTTCATGTGCTTTGTTTCTAGGAACAGCTGTACAATCAAGCTTTAATATCACAGGTCTTCGGAGGCAATTTTAAAAATTTTGTACCCACAAAATTTGATAGCTGCAAAAGTGCTTAAACACTCATGAGCAATCAAATCTAAACACATCACGTGAGATAAAATTATGGTTAATGGGAATGTCACCATTGTGTTCAAAAGAACCAAGATTTCACCAACTGTGAATAGTGAATATTTGCAGGAATTTCTTTGTAATGAATCCAGAGAATTGAAGAAAATCACTATATTGCTCAATTTTGAATAACAAATTAGCATAAGTCAGAAATAGGGCTGTGTGGAGAAGATAACTCAGCCATTAATGTAGTTCTCTGAACATTTCTTTCTTAGTGTATTAAATTATTATATTTATATTCCTTTTCTCTATTCCTTCTCTCTCCCTTTCCTTTCCCCCAAAGGCCAAATGTACATCTAGAACAAGAGCTGGCAATAGTGGGACAACAGCAGTCGTGTGTTCAGGCTTTTACCCAGGTTGTCAAGATGTGGAAACAAGGCTGCATAGGACATAGGTGGTGTATGGGCTATAAGAGAAGGTAATGTGTGATTAATAAAATAGTTGGCACCTGTTTTCTGGAAAGGCAATCAATGGGAATGCTTCATACTTTCCCCAAGTAATATGTATTGAGAAATATAATACAGTACCTTTTGCATTTTTCCTTCTTACCACAGAAAAAAGGTATCGATATATCATTATGTGCTGTTGGAATTTTGCAATGAATTTGTATTTCTATCAGACTGAGGCATGTATTTATGCACATTAGCATTTATCCATGTGGATAAAATTAATTTAATGAACTTTTTTATATAAATAGTTTTATATTAAATCCTAAACATTAGAAATTATTAAACTCAATTAATTTAAAATACAAAAAAAAAAAAAATTCTGCCAGGTTTTAAAGAGTCAAACCACTGAGTTGATGTAAGACAGTGACTAAGTACCTGGAACTAGAATTTCAGTGCTAACTCCATTTTGGATAGTAGAAGTTTCTCATGTAGAACGACTGAAAATGTTTGAAATGAGTGTATGTTGAAGATATAATGCATGTGATATTTTAAGTACTGTGCATATTACTGATGTGATTTGAGTAAGCTGCACAAAAGTAATTTGGGATCATTCTCTTCCATTGACTCTTCTTTATAGGATAGGGTATTATATGGTCTACAAACAAGTGTACATCATGGAGCATAAAACAGTCTATAAATGTTGTCCAGGATGGACTAAAAAAGATGATGAACCTGGTTGCTTGCACTGTAAGTTGTGATTGGCTCCATCCAACATTGCGAGGTAAAGATAGAGAAATGTTTCTATCTGGCTGTATTTACTTGTTGACTGTCTTGTCTAATTGTATCTAAAGGTCATCTTTTCACATTCCTTTTTATGGAAATCCTCTTATCATTGAAGGAGATTTTTAAAATGATTTTTATTAAATGTATGTAGTAGCACCAGACATCTTTAAAATGACTAAGACATAGTATGCAAGGACTATTATTAGAACTTTGACATTCATAATTTATTGGTGTGTCTGCTGGCCTTCCATAGACTTGGCCTCACATTGGGTCCAGTTTAGTGCTACTGTAAGCAAATGTAGATTATCAGATATAATAGAGTTCTGCCTGTTTATACCAATACTTAATTTGGCCTCATGTCTCTTATTCTGCACCCTGCAATTATGTAGCACCGGTTTCATGCCATTCCTCCACAATAGCATTATCATTGTTAGATCTAGAACCTCCTCCACTATAGCTCTTATGTACAGATTTTTTTTTTTGTATCTCTTTACCTCAGATTCTCCTTTTAATTTACTGTACCTCTGAAATCTCTTTACTTTGGCTATTCGACTTTTGGCTATAGAATATTTTAGCTTATGCTTCGTATGAGAATGACTAGAGACAATGTTTGTGCTCAGTGTACTAGATTCTTATGGTCATTTTTTTGGAGAGGTTGCTCCTTTCTGCATCAGGCTATTAATTCTGTTTTGTTTGCTTCTCTGTAAATCGTGCCGAAAATGCATTTTAAAATCAGTAACCAAATCTGAAGCATAAAAGTAATTTATTAAATTGAGCTTCTGTGACAATGTAAAATACTTTTTCTTAGAAAAATGATGCAGACTCTCTGTGAATTCTTTAAGGCTTCTGAATAGCTGAACAAGACCTTAATATTCAATACATTCAAGACTCTTTTGATTCAGTTGGTTCTGTATTGTGCATTTGGCAGGCAGAGGCAGAAAATTGTCTCTCCATAGCTGTAACATAATCTATTAAGGTGTGTTTGTCATCTCTAGATTACACCACATCAGTTGGTCTACCCTTCCATCTCTGTGGACTCTGGTAACATTCATCTTGCCAAAATGTGCTTTCCACCATTTAAACATCTTAAAGTCAAACCACACCATTCCCATTAAAGTATCCCACACCCATAATCCGGTTATATTATTCAGTATTTTATTTTCCTTGACTGGGACATCATATCTGTATGAAATCTGGAAGAAGATTCTTTTTGCCCAGTACCTCTGGGCAATTCTAATTTAACTTTTTTAGTAAAAACCAAGCCTCTAATTCACATCCATTTGGAGGCTTCTATGAATGAGACTGTGACGGTCTGAGGTATTTGTTCTTTCTGAAGAGTTATATAATCAAGTTTCTTCTTTGCTCTTTGTTGTTTTTTCTAGTGTTGTGCTCTGTAGGCACTTGCTTCAATGGCAGGAAATGCTCTGAAGGAGGATCGCTGATGTGCCAATGTCCTGAGGGATTTCAGGGTCCTCGGTGCCAGTATGGTGAGCCAAAGCTTAAATTGCTTGCCATGTGTTTATAATGGTCCATATTGTTTTCAGGAGGTATTCAGATAAAATGAGCTCAACTAATATTTTATCATGAACACTAACCTGAGGTTACGTCTCCTGCTTTTTAAATGGTTATGCAGTGGATCCACATGTGCTCTGCATTGGCTTCCTTTTTATTCTAAGGTTGATTAATAATATAAACAAACAAAAAACCCAATTGGACTGATTCATCATGAGTCTAATACTAGTGAAAATCTCTATGCTAAAAAGATTGTAGAATCTTTGTCTACTGCTCACTTGGCAAATTGGATCCTTTTCAGAAGCAGCCTGACTGCTTCTTACTCGATCTTGCAGCTTTGGCCTTACCTTTGCAAATAGTGTGCACCCAAAACTCTTGTGTGAGTCAATGGCATTTTGGCAAATACAAGGAAGGTAGGAACTGGGTCATAGAAATATAATGATGGGAGGCAGTGATGATGTTTCATTAGGAAGACTGGCTTCACTAAACACTTCCTTAGTGTTCTATGAAATTGTTACTGAACTGCAGATCTCAAAGTAAAGACAGTGCACTTTTTGTGACTCTGATATCATTGACCCTTTAATTGTGATATTTTCCCTCATTTGCTCCTTCATAATATTTGTTAATGGGTCCATCAGGAATTGGCGAGGTTCTGCTCTACTGTACACTAAGTATGTCAGTAGAGTATGTATATATTGGTATTAAGTGCTCCAGGTTAACAGGGGTGTTTGGTTTCTTTAAGACAGTGTTTCAGAACAGGCTGTCTCTTAAGGTAAACAGATGTATAAATAATAGAAAAATAATGATTTCCATTCTATTTCAGTCTTCAAGGGATTACTCACATTGTGGTCTGTGCAAATACAACATTATGGCTGTGTCTAGACTGGCCACTTTTTCTGGAAAAGCAGGCGCTTTTCCGGAAAGCTTGCCAGCTGTCTACACTGGCCGCTTGAATTTCCACAAAAGCACTGACTATCTCATGTAAGATTGTCAGTGCTTTTGCAGAAATACTATGCTGCTCCCATTCGGGCAAAAGTCTTTTTCCGAAAAACTTTTGCGCAAAAGGGCCAGTGTAGACAGCAGAGATTTGTTTTCCGCAAAAAAGCCCCAATCGCGAAAATGGCGCCACGGACGCTTTTCCGCAAAAAGTGCTTTTGCAGAAAAGCGTCCTGCCAATCTAGACGCGCTTTTCCGAAAATGCTTTTAATGGAAAACTTTTCTGTTAAAAGCATTTCCGGAAAATCATGCCAGTGTAGACATAGCCTATCTGAACTTTTAGATCTTTAAATTTTCCTCTTTCTAGACACATGGAAAGTAAGAAGAGTTGATGGTGCTTTTACACTGACAGAGTTGGATAGGTTGTAAATGTGGAGCCAAATTCTGCACCTTCACATTCTGGTGCAGATTTGAGTGGAAGCCATACAGAAGCTAGACTAACCTCACTTCATGAGCTCTATGCCTGCAGAAAGAAAACTACTCTATGAATTTCTCACTTGATTGTTCAGAGAGATGACATACTCTGTCACCAAATCTTTTATTTAAAAAGGCATTCTAAAGTAATGATCCAAACACTGTGACATCATTGCTGTAATAATGTAGGCCTTAGGGGTTCAATTATTCTCATTCAACTATATTTTCCCCTAATTTACATATATTGTTTAATGGGTATAAGTGAGGGAGAATTTTAATGCCTCTGCCTCACTCCATCTTGATTACGGGCCTTAATTTAAATGCAGTATGCTCAAAAGTTAAATTTCAAATTCACTGTCTAGCTTGAATCATTCTTGTCCTATCGGCTATCTGCCTCTGCTGTACACTTGAACTGATATGGGGCTCTCTCAGATTTGACCTTGTATGGACTCACTGTAGTGGTGTGGCTTTTACTCCAGATGAGGAACAACAGCCACTCTTGAGTGAAGATAACGAGGCAGTCTGGGTTACAGCAGGCTACATCATCTGAGGGAGCTATGCAAACATTCAGCAACTGAAGGGACAAAGTGTCTATTTCACTGAATGAAGCCCTGTTATGGGGTCTGGTCACAAATGACATTTTTAATGCATCAGCATGCAAAAGAGGAGCACTTAAATAAATAAATAAATAAAATGGAAAATACTTCACAATGGAACTTCTGATGGTAGCAAAACTACAGAATGTTGTGGGACAAACTGTGGTTTCACGCCCAGTCTGTATTAAGGATATCTGCATTCACATTTGGACAAATTACAAATGTATATGTGCTGAGCTGATGCAAAGCAGGGCTTATGCAAATTGTGTTTCTGAACTATGTTGACAGAGCTACACTGCAGAAAATTTCTTTCATGAAGATAGGGCCTAAATGACACCACTGTAAATCTGAAGTAATGGCGGTAACACCAGTGGAACATTGGTGTGTAACTGAGGGTACGCCTACATAGCCAGGCTAAAGTCAAATTGAGCTATTCAACTTCAGCTATGCCAATTACGTAGCTGAAGTCGAAATAGCTTAATTCGGCTTTTGATGTTGTCTACACAATAGGAAGTCAAAGGAAGAACACTCTTCCTTCTGACTTCCTTTACTCCTTGTAGAATGAGGGTTATAGGAGCTCAAGTAAGAAGTCCTCCAGATGGACATTATTTCAAAATAACAGCTTGTCGTGTAGATGCACACTATGTTATTTCAGAATAACGGAAGTTGTTCTGAAATAACACTGCTGTGTAGACATTAGCTGGATTATATTCATTCAGGCTATCTGAGAAGGGCCCAAAATAACCTTTACTTTGGATCTGCAACATATCAAACACAGCAAAAGTTAAGTAACTCTCAGAATAGCTTCAGCCAATACATGTATATATTTGAAAAACTGAAATGGAATACAAAACTAGTTCTGAATGCACTGCTTAACTTAAAATACCTAAAGCATAAAACATGAGAAGTTCTATGGCACCTGAGAGACTAACAAAAATATATATAGTATCATGAACTTTCATGGGCAAAACCACTTTATCAGATGAGCTGGAGAGGGATAACAGGAACCTAGAAAAAGAAGTGTGGAAAAAAAAAAGGTACCTGTCAGTTGTAAGACCAATGCTAATGAAGCTAATTAAATGGGCTGGAAGTTTCCCATACTTAGCTAGCTATTAATGTAAAAATGAGTCGTTAAATGCAGAAAAGTCTATCCTTATGGAACACTTAACAACCCACACAAACTCATGATACTATCTATATGTTTATTAGACTCTTAGGCCAGGTCTACGCTAAAGGGCAAAGTCATTTTAAGATACTTCTACTCCAGCTACATAATTGACGTACCTGGGTTTGCGTATCTTAAATAGTGTTTTGATGCCATCCACACAGCGGGAGGTCGACAAGAGCACACACTCCCATTGACTTCCCTTACTCCTCATGAGGAGCAGGACTACTGGCACCGACAGGAGTGCCCTCTCAGTTCGAATTAACAGGTCTTCACTAGACCCACTAATTTGAACCCCGGAAGATGGACAGTGGCAGCATAGATCTTCTCTGTCATGTAAACAAGCTGCTAGGTGCTCGTTGTTTTTAAAGTGACAGACTAACATGTTTCGTTGTTTTTAAAGGACTGCGCATTGTTTTTAAAGTGACAGACTAACATGGCTGCCCCTTTGAGACTCTAAAGCATTAAGCCATTCCCTAGAGCAGACCAGGCCTATGGAATTCCAGTGTGGGGGAGAGAAGGCCAACTCATGGGGCCAAAATGTGATTATGCACAGAGAGCTGGATTGTAAAAAGAGTGCAAGTTACTCCGCAGTTTCAACTTTTTACAGTTAGGTGGAGCTCTACCTTGATGTATCGCTTTATAATGATTTTTGAGTTAGCGAGGAATTTTGGTTCTTGTTTCCAATGTTGTAATTCAGTAGCTGCTACAGTAGTCGATTTATAAATCAAATACTAGGAATGTTAAATTTCTATTAATCAGCGTAGTTGATGGAATTTCTAATTTGATTACTCGATTAGTCGATAAGAGGGAGGGAGGCAGGAGTGGGGACTGAAGGGTGCCTCTGCCTTCCCTGTCTATCCTCCCCTACACTGCAGAGATGGTGCTGGGGGAACTTGCTTTTAAACCTGCTTCCCCCAGCACCAGCTCCTTGCTGCCTCTAATATAGATGGCAGAATGTAAATAGACTAATAAGCCTAGATTTATCGAATAGTCAACTGTTTGACTATTCTTTTACATCTCTATTAAATACTAGAAGAAAAAAATCCATTCAGAAAGAATTCTCTGACCAACAGAAACAAGGTAATTTAGAGAATAAGTCATAGAATCATAGAATCATAGAACTGGAAGAGACCTCAGAAGGTCATCAAGTCCAGCCCCTTGCTCTAGGCAGGACCAATTCCAACTAAATCAACCCGGCCAGGGCTTTGTCAAGCCGAGACTTAAACACCTCTAGGGATGGAGATTCCACCACCTCCCTAGATAACCCATTCCAGTGCTTCACCACCCTCCTAGTGAAATAGTTTTTCCTAATATCCAACCTAGACCTTTCCCACTGTAACTTGAGACCATTGCTCCTTGTTCTGCCATCTGTCACTACTGAGAACAGCCTCTCTCCATCCTCTTTGGAACCTCCCTTCAGGAAGTTGAAGGCTGCTATCAAATCCCCCCTCACTCCTCACTTCTGCAGATTAAACAGACCCAACTCCCTCAGCTTCTCCTCATAGGTCATATGCTCCAGCCCCCTAATCATTTTGGTGGCTGTCCGCTGGACCCTCTCCAATGTGTCCACATCCTTTTTGTAG